CTCTGGGCATGTGTCGCACAGTCGACGAGAAGACGAATTCTGGGGTAAACCAATTCTGTTGTCGATCCCCAACTCGAAAGAAGGTCAAACACCTGCCGTCGGGGCCTGCCCTGGCCCTGGGCCCGAAGGCTGCCAACGAGAGCCTCCCGCCGTAATCTTGTTGTTGTTTCCACGGCACGGGGGCTTCTTGGCTTCGTTGCTCCTTCAGGACTCGGGCAGGGACCGACCGTCCTGGCATTCCTCTAACTTTAGGCCTACCACGACATGCTCTTAGAACTCAAAAATGTGCGAATAGCAAAAGCAATGTTCTTAGAACATACGGCGGATATTCAAAGTAAGGAGACCTTCGATAAGGAACCCAGGGTCTCGCGACCGATGGGCGGCCAAACGTCGGCCACCCACCTCGCCTTGAAACAAAAAGGAATGCGCCAGGATCTGGGCCCCAGGAAGACGATCCTTATCGAATGCCGTCGCCGTAAGCCTCATGTATTAAAACAAGACAGTCTCAGCCAGAAAGGTTCAAAAAACATTTAGTGCAAACCACAGAAGGTTCTTAGAACATTCCTTGATGGGCCTCTAGGCAAGTGAACGTTTTATTCGGCGCTTCAGCACTGGGCGGAAGAGTGGGGGAGAAGGGAGCCTACATCTGGACCTCTGCTGAATGCGACTGTTTGCATCAATGCGTCCTGTGAGGGAGACTCCACCTGATCGAGACAGGCGCCAAAAACAGCCAGGATCTACTCCACGGGGGGGGGAGGGAGGGTGCGAGGGCCCGCGCCGATCGGCAACGCCTGCACGCTTCGCCAAGCCAGGACGCTTCGCCTGCTTGACGGCCTGCTCCCGGGCGACACGAGCCCCGCGGGGCGCGCTGCCCGAGACGCCGCCGCCGCCGCCGGCCGCCCTGGGCGCCCTCGGCCGCGGCCGCGGCGGGGCGCCGGAGCCCGCCGCAGAGGAGGCGGCAACCCAGGCCGCGAGGGATCGAGAGGGCAGAGGGTCGGGGTTCCTCCTCCTCCTCCTCCTCGCCCCTCCTCGTCCCTCCTCGTCCTCCTCCTCCTCCTTTTCGTCCCTCCTCCGCCTCTTCCTCCTCATCCTCCTCCTCCTCGTCCCTCCTCCTCGTCCCTCCTCCTCCTCCTCCTCCTCGTCCTCCTCCTCCCCTCCTCCTCCTCCTCCCTCCTCCTCCTCCTCCTCCTCCTCGTCCGTCCTCCCCGCTCTCCTCCTCCTCCTCCTCCTCCACCTCCTCCTCCTACTCCTCCTCCTCGTCCCTCCTCCCCCTCCTCCTCCTGCTTCTCCTCCCCCTCTTCCAGCGGATCCTCGAGGAGGAAATCTCGGAGGGATCAAGACCTGAGTCAGGAGGGTCTCTGGAGGTTCCCGAGGAGAAAGTCTCGAGGTTTCCGAGGAGGAGTTCTCGAGGAGGGGATCTCGAGGCTCGAGGTCTTCGAGGAGGAGATCTCGGAGGTCGAGGCTCCCAGACTCCCTCGAGTTCAGAACAATCACGGCGAAAGCGGGCTCTCCAACATGTGCGGCCTCTGGGAGCCCATGCCGGGCCTCGGGACCATTAATGAACAACTCGGGGTAACAACAACCGGTCCTGTGGAGTGGGTCGAGACCTCTGGGGGCCGACGCCATGGAAAAACCACGACGTGCGGGGCTGGGATGACGACAACCCCTGAGATCCGGGCGTTGAAGTTTTGCTGTTCGCACCAGGCCCCTGGGCGATCACAGATCGATCCGGCTCAATGCCGCAGAAAGGGTGGGCGAATTTTCGACCACCACTACCCTATGCAGCACGGGGGAGAAGGGAGGATGAGGAGGTCCTCCTCCTCCTCCTCCGACCTCCTCCTCCTCCTCCCTCCTCCTCCTCCTCCTCTCCTCCTCTCCTCCTCCTCCTCTTCTCCTCCTCCTCCTCTCTTCCTCCTCCTCCTCCTCCCTCTCCTCCTCCCTCTCCTCCTCCTCCTCCTCCGCCTCCTCCTTCTCCTCCTCCTCCTCCTCCTCCTCCTCCTCCTGATGATCTGGCCGCGCGGGCCGGAACCGTTGCTCTCCGCGCGCCGCAGCGGCGGCCCCGGCGGCACGCCCTGCGAGCCGATATCGCGTGTCGCTCCGCGCTCCGGCCAAGGCGCGGGAGGCGGGGAGAGGACCCGAGGGCGCTGGCGCCTGGCAGGCCGGGGCGCGGCGGGTCAGAGCCGAAGCGGCGCGGCCGTGCGAGCCTGCAGCTGCACCTCCCCGCTCTCGCGGCGCCCGCCGCGCGAGCGTGCGTCCCTCCGCGGGTGCGCCCGCTTCTGCGCAGCAGCACGGGTCGATCGAGGCCGGGAGGAGGAGTACGCTCGCGTCCGGCCGGCACGCGTGCATGTGCTCCGTGTACCGATCGCGTGGCACTGCGCACGAAGCTCGCCCACACCCTGAGCGTCGGAGAGAGCACGGCACGATCAGCGCCTGCAGCATTTTGCACTCCCGCTGCCCTACGAGCAAGAGCGGAACCACGAGTCCGAATTCCCGCACTCTGGAAAGGGCCGAGAGGCCCATGCGGTGAGGTGCTCGTCCACCCCCTTGTGTCTACTTCCCGCGGGAAGGGGATGGGGAGGACTAAGACGAGGACGACGACGAGAAGCAAGCGGAGGAGGATAAGAACGATAATGGCACAGGACGAGAGGGATGACTCGAGCGGAGACGGATACGACCACGCCGCGTCATGAACCGAGATGGAGGGGGCGGAGATGCAACACGTCCTCCCTCTGCCCTCCTCCTCCTCCTCCAACTCCTCCTCCTCCTCCTCCTCCTCCTCCTCCTCCTCCTCCTCGTCCTTCTCCCTCCTCCTCCTCCCCCTCCTCCTCCTCCACCTCCTCCTCGTCCCTCCTCCCCTCCTCCTACCTGCTCCCTCCTCCATCCTCCTCCTCACTCCTCTCTCCTCCTCCCTCCTCCTCCTCCCATCTCCACCTCCTCCTCCTCCTCCTTCTCCTCCTCGCTCCTCCCTCCTTCTCCTCCTCCTAACCATCCTCCTCCTCCTCCTCCTCCTCCTCCTCCTCCTCCTCCTCCTCCTCCTCCTCCTCATTCCTCCTCCTCCTCCTCCTCCACCTACCCGCTTCCTCCTCCTCCTCCTCCCCTCCTCCTCCTCCCCTCCTTCCTCCTCCTCCTCCTCCTCCTCCTCTCCCCTCCTCCTCCTCCCCGCCCTCCTCCTCCTCCCCGCCTCCTCTCCTCCTCCCTCCTCTCCCTCTCCTACCTCCTCCTCCTCCTCCTCCTCCTCCCCTCCTCCTCCTCCTCCGCCTCCTCCTCCTCCTCCTTCTTCTCCTCCTCCTCCTCTCCTCCTCCTCCTCCTCCCTCCCTCCGCCTCCTCCTCCTCCTCCTCCTCCTCTTCCTCCTCTTACTCCCTCCTCCTCCTCCTCCTCCTTCCTCCTCCTCCTCCTCCTCCTCCTCCCTCCTTCACCCTCCTCAGAACCTTTCCCTCCTCCTCCTCCCTCCTCTCTCCTCCTCCTACCTCCTCCACCTCCTCCTCCGCCTCGTCCTCCTTCCTCCTCCTCCTCCTCCTCCTCCTCCTCCTCCTCCTCCTCCTCCTCCCGCCCGCGCCCTCCCCCTCCCCAGACCCTGGCAGCCCACCCTGGCCCCGCACGGGGGGGGGGGATCGGAGCACCCCTCCCCTGCGATCCGACGCTGCGAACAAAATTGCAGCATCGCAGCAAATTTAGGAGGCAACTCCTGGGAAATCTTCGTTGGAACGGTTTAGGGCGATCAAGCCCGATTAAGAGGCCAATTCACAGGATGAAGCTGGATGAAACCTGGGATCAAGCCTGGATGAAGTGCTATTAAACCAGACTCAGCGGGATTCAACCAGATTGAACATTATGTAACCTCCCAGGAGCAGCAACCTAGAAAAAGGACCACCAGAGCCCAGGCTCCCCACCTCTCTGCACCCTTTTTCGCGCCAGATCGACCCGTGAGAGCCCCAGGGCCCGAAGCTGGACGAAAATGCCTGGTGTGAAAAATAGAGGAAACAGAAACTGCATAACATAAACTTCTGGCGCTCCGCGCGGATTTCTTGGATCTGCGCTGGGCCCCCCGGCGGAGCCTCCGGCGCCGCCCCCGGCGCGCTCCGCGCGCCAGGGGCGGGGATCCAGCGCAGATCCAGGAACTCCGCGCGGAGCGCCAGAAACTCGTGCTTCTATGCCGTGTTTCTGCCTCCCTGCCTCCTCGAGAAGAACACCGCAGCGCCCAGATCTGAGGGTCCGCGTCGGCCTCCCGGCCCCCGCCCCTTCCAAATTAGCGTGGCCTGCAGCCTTCGGCGGGGCGCCGCGCGCGCGGCCGCTGTGCGAGGCCGGAGCGGCGGTCGCTCGGAGGGTGAGACGGGCGGGGGCCGCGCCTCGGCGGGGAGAGGCCCTCGAGTCGCGGACATCGGCGGCGAGCGAGGGGGGGGAAGTGATACGGAGCAGGTTTTTAATACAGTGGATCTTAACACATATTATCCCGGCAAAGCAACCTAACAGCGATGTGTATCAGCATACCTGGAAGCATTCCCCTTAAGATTCAGGTGAGAATCCAGTTGTAGAATTCTGCTGTTCTCGCAGTCGCAGTCGCATTGGCAGTGACAGTCGCAGTGGCAACGGCCTTAGGATCCAATGGAATCCTAAGGATTCCTAGGGATTCCTAAGGTATCCTTAGGCATCCTTAGGAATCCATAGGAATCCTTAGGAAACCAGAGGAATCCTTAGGAATCCTGATTCCAAGGGATTCCTGTGGTTTCTATGGATTCCTGAGGATGCTTAACTATGCCTACGGATTCCTAAGGATGCCTAGGGATTCCTAAGGATTCCGATGGATTCCTACGGATGCCTCAGCCTGCCTCAGTTTCAGCCTCAGCCTCAGCCTGCCTCGGCTTGCCTCAGCCTCAGCGTCAGCCTGCCTCGGCCTCAGCCTCAGCCTGCCTCTGCCTCAGCCTCAGCCTGCCTCGGCCTCAGCCTGCGTCAGCCTCAGGAATCCATAGGCGAATCTATAGGGAATCTGTAGGACTTTAAAGGAATCCATAGGAAAAAACGCTCCCGCGGCATTCCCCGGTTCCCGCCCCCATAGGTACACAAACACCCGCGGCATTCCCCGGCACCCGCCCAGGCCCCCCTGGGGCGTCAAGATGCCCTCCTTTGACACCATTAGAAACCTATCAGTCTTCGCTGTTAGGTATTAAGACTTGTAATGCATGATCGATGTATGCAACAAATTATGCATGAACTCACCGTTGTGTTAGTACTAAATCCCTGCATGTTTGATACATGATCCGCACGCGGAGCATGTGTATATATATATGTATATATATATATATGTATATATACACATATAAAAACGGCACTGTAAGGAGAAGGCCTTTTCGGAAGGCGGCGGGGCTTCTCAGAGGCCCTCGCGCCTTCCGAGACGTTGTCTGTCTGTCTTCGGGGAAGGCTCATACAGAAGTCTCCTCGGAGGGCCGGGGGACCTCCGAGAGGCTTCGGAGAAGGCCTTCTCCTCCTTGCTTCTCCCCCCCTCGCTCGCCGCTGAGGAAAAATCATGGTGCCGAGCTCTTCGCCGTCCTCGGCCTCTGGGGGCCCTCGCCGAGCCCCGGGAGCGGCGACACGCAGAAGAGTGGCCCCAGGCAAGAGTGACCTTGAGCGCGCGAAGGAAAGGGGGGCGCAGGGGGCCCAAATCCAAGGGCGCAAGCAACCACCATCGCATCGCGCTGCAGCAGGGGCCCGATCACAAGAAGCCTTCCACAAGACACCCAACCCTGATACCCACGGACGTCCATTGATTTTTGGTGCGGGAGCGTCACGCTTTCCATAGCAATAACATCGAAGCCCAAAAAACCCACGGCACCCTGGAGGCGAGCAGGGTGCTTCTTGGCATGGGTCTCCACTGTAAGCAATCGGGGGACCCTGGTGAGCCCACGCCAAAGGTCACGCCAACTAAGGGTCACTCTTGCATGTAGTCGACGGGGCCGTCAAACAAGGACTCGGGACGAGAGGCAGGTCCTGGGGAATGGGTCGGGACCTCCAAGGGTCCACGTTATGAAAAGATCATGGCGTCGGGGGTCTGGGAGGAGAAGAGGAGGAGGAGAAGGAGGAGGAGGAGAAGGAAGAGAAGGAGGAGAAGGAGGATGAGGGAGGAGGAGGAGGACAAGCAGGAGGAGGAGGAGGAGGAGGAGCAGGAGGAGGAAGAGAAGCAGGAGGGGGAGGAGGAGGAGGAGGAGAAGGAGGAGGAGGAGGAGGAGGAGGAAGAAGAGGAGGAGAGGCTGGGAGGGGGCCGACGTATACGCCCAGTCGCCCTGTCGGTGTGTGGGGACGCCCCTTGCAATCGCAGGCGACAGCGTGCCTCTGACCCTGCCTCTGCCTCCACCGCCGTCCCTGCCGACGGCGGAGGAAGTGGTGCGAAACTACTTGGGACGAAACCGACCCGGATCCGCGCTCGCGTCTCCAGGCCGGCATCCTGTGCAGGGCCCCGGCAGGGCGGCCTGCAGCCGAGGAGGCCGGAAGCCGCACGCACCTCGGGGGGCCCCGCCAGCACGGGGCCCTCGATCGACGGAGGCCGGCGCGTAGACGCCTCGGCTACCCAGGCTGCGGGGCGCTGGAGCGCATACGCACACACGCACACACACACACATACGTTCACACATACACACACAAACACGCACACACACACACACACACATTCACACACATTCACACACGCACACACACAGACACACACACTCACACACACACACACACACCACACACACAGAAACACACAGACACACAGACACACAGACACACACACACAGATATACACACACGCACACATTCATGCACAAACACACACGCACACCCACATTCACATTCGCACCACACATACACACGCACACGAGCACGCAGACCACACACAACGCACACATACACTGCGCACTCCTTCGCCGAACTCCTTGGCCCCGAGGCCGACCAGAAGACGTGGCGTGTACGTCCAGTGCTTTTCCGAGAGGCGGGAGGGGGGGCGAAAGCAGAGGGGAAGAGGGAGGGGGCATTGGAGGAACTTCTCGGGGATGGGGGGGGGGAGGAGAGAAGGGGGGCGCGCCGCGTCGGATGGGAAGCCGAGGGGCAGGGGGGCGGGGAGGGTGATGGAGAGCTCCCACGGCCCTCGGCCCGTCTCCCATCCTCATCCGCCCCCTCCTCCTCTTCGCAGTCCTCTTCCGTGGCGCTGCTCGGGCATTGCTCGAGTGATCGGGCAGCGGCACCAGCACGCAGGGCAGAAGGCTACCAAAGCCACGCTCGCGAGGAAGACGACACACAGCACCACCACCAACCATCTCGCTCGAGCTACCCCCATCTAATTACCACCAGTACCGCGGCGACCACTCACAGACAACAGCTCGCAGTCCGCTCTCTCCTCTCCCCCGCATCCTCCCCGTCGCATCCCGCGTGGGGCCCCCACGCCGCTGTCGCCCCTGCGCGCCACAGAGGGGGCGGGGGGGGGGAAGACACGGCCAGAGCTCTCGGGGGCCCATTCTCCTCGGGCCACGCATCGAGAGCTCCCTGTGGGGGGGCCCCAAGGCGGTGCGGAGCCCGAGGGGCACGGAGCCGCCTCCTGGGCCGAGGATGCTCCTGGACTCCTGGACTGGCGGCGCGCACGAAAGGGGGTATCGGCTGCACGCCGGAATGACCCTGGGCAAGATGGTGCGCGGCTTTACTCTGAGTGCTTTTTTTTGGGCCCACAGACTACAAGGGCCCCCCGGACTACAAGGGCCCCTCCCCTGGACTACAAGGACCACCCCCCCCCCCCGGACTACAAATGCCCCCCCCCCCGGACTACAAGGGCCCCCCCCCCCGGACTACAGGGGCCCCCCCTGGACTACAAGGCCCCACCCCCGCGGACTACAAGGACCCCAACCCGGGCTGCAGGGTCCCCCCTGGATTACAGTTTTTGTTTTGGTCTGCGGGGCGAGAGCGAACCTCTTCCGATAAAAGCTTGGCGGGCTACGCGCAGCTCCAATTGGGGAGACAGGGCACAGGCGGGCGGGGGCCCGCCTGGACTACAGGCACTCTTTCAAAGGAGGTGCAAGGCGAGGGGAACTTGGACCCGCGCGGGGGAGTCAGGGGCCCAACTCAATCAAGCGCTAAGCCGCTGCTCTCGCATCTTCTTCCGCGGTCGGGGAGGGCCCCCGTGGGCCCGCGCCAGAGGTCGCGCCAAAGGTCACTCCGGCGAAGGGTCACTCTTACATGTAGTCGAGGGTCGGGGAAGGGGGGGAGGCTTCGTAGGAGGAGGCTGCCTCTTGAAAGGTGCCGGCCCTACATCTGCAGACGAGGCCCGCGCCTTCTGAGAAGCAGGGTGCTTCTAAGAAGCCTCCCCCCCTCGCCCTCCCGCTCTCCCCCCCCCCCTGCGCGTGGCGGAGAGGAACAAACAAGGCAGAGGGTCGAGGTTCGAGGTTGTCGCCGAGGAGGGGATCACGAAGGCAGAGGGTCACTCTTACGTGTAGTCGAGGCTTCTTAGAAGGAGGCTGCTTCTTGGAAGGCGCTGGCCTTACATCTACAGGCACGGCCCGCGTCTTCTGAGAAGCAGGGTGCTTCTAAGAAGCCTCCCCCCCGTTCCCCTTCCCTCCCCCCCTGCGCGTGGCCGAGAGGAACAAAGAAGGCAGAGGGTCGAGGTTCGAAGTTGTTCTCAGAAGGAGGCTGCTTCTTAGAAAGCTTCTGCCCCACATCTACAGGCACGGCCCGCGCATTCTAAGCAGGGGTGCTTCTAAGAAGCCTTCCCCCCTCCCCCTGCCCCCCTCTGCGCGTGGCCGACCGGCGCTCCGGCAGCATGAGGGATCGAGAAGCAGGGCCAACTCACACACACTCTCATTGTTGATATGAGGGGAAAAACAAACGGCATCGAGCATTAACATGGATTTTCGGAGCTCCGCGCGGATTTCTTGAATCATCGCTGGGCCCCCCTGGCGGCGCCTCTGGCGCCGCGCGCCAGGAGGGGGGTCCAGCGATGCAAGAAATCCGTGCGGAATTTGCGACAGTTTGCGTTCATGCCTTCTTTTCGTCTTTTCTTCTTCGATTACTGTTTCCCTCGTGCTGGCATATAGGGACCACCGAGGTCACTCACAGACCGCCGGCATGGACCAGCCGTTAGGAGGCAACTTCTGGGAGGCCTTCGAAACAATGATCAAGGGCCCTTGGGCATGATCAGCCCGTATTGAACCCAGACCCGATGAAGCAAGATTCAGCGGAATTCATATGGCTTACGCCAGATTGGGCTAGTTTTTGACTGCGGATCTGGCAGCGCCGATGCTGAATGTCACCTCCTCCCCAACTCCCGACCTCGTGCTGATTTCACACCGTGGGCCCCCAGAGGTCTGGACCACTTGCCCGGGACTCAGCGGTCTGGGCCCCAGGAGCTGCACCCTGACGGCTGCACCAGAGGCCTCCTAGATGGGGTCCGAGCAGGTGGGGTCCGAGGATCGCGCCGCATCGCCAACACATCGAGGGTGCATCGGTGATGCATCGGCGGTGCATCGTCGACGTCGGCGGTGCATCGGCGAGGCCGGCGCGGGGACACACGGTCTCCACATCGAGCCGCATCGCCGATGCATCGGCGATGCGGCGCGATCCTCCGACCCCATCTGCTCGGGACCCCACCTAAACACACAAGTAAATACACACAAATAGCAGGATTCCCCATATTTCCCCATACTTTCTGGGCTTCTGTCTTCCCCCCCACTTCCCATATTCTCCCATCTTTTCCTGGGAGTCGACGATCACTTGTGTCTGTGTGTGTGTGTGTTTCTTTCCCCCCTGACTATAGGAGGCCCGGAGGCATCGGCAGCGGCAGCGGCAGCGGCAGGCGGGCGCCGGGCGGCGAGCACGCCCGCGTGTGTGGCCGCGCCCTCGCGGCCGGGCTCCCCGGAGGGGGCGCGGCCCTGCGGCTGCGCGCTCGCACGGCTGCGCTCCGCGCGCGTGGGCGCCCGCGGCGGAGACAGCGCCCCCTCCGCACGCGGAGGGGCCGCGGCCGCCCAGAGGCGCGGCCCGCGAGGCCGTGGCTACGGAGTCGGGCAGGGGATCGGCTGCAGAATCGAGGTGCCCCGAAGTTGATTTCCTCGTCGAGTCCGTGCATGCTGCGCAGAAGGTTCGTAGATCCACGAACGCTCGACGCAGTGTGCATGGATTCGACGAGAAAATGAACTCTGGGGCAGCTCAATTCTGCAGTCGGCCCCCTACTCGGCGGATAGGTGTTTCGCCCACGATGGAGAAACCAACAAGTACCGATACCGCTGCTCCCCGGACCTCACCCAGATGGAGTTCTGACCAGAATTCCGGGGCGAGCCCAGCGGTGGCGACGAGGGCCTCCCGAGAGGCCCAGGAAGGCGAAAACCAGGGAAGGGCAGCCGTATAGTACCTTTTCTCGGGCCGGACGGAAGGGGGGGATGGGGAAAGGGGGGAGTTCCGAAATCTGCTGCATGCAGCTGGTTTCGGCCCCACCGAGGGGACCATTCCTCGATACATGGCCGCCTCTGGCGCCGGGAGGCGCCATGGAAAATCAGCTATGCGAGCTGATTCTCAACCACCCCCCTTTGCTATCCCTCCCTCTCGCCCGACCCGATTCTGGCCATCGCTCGGACGTCCATCCCCTGTTTTCTCCGGCTTCGTGCGTGGCTTTTTCGCCACATGATCAAGGATGCTCCCCGATGGTCCTCGCCGAAGGAAAAAACGCACACGTACGAGCGATGCCAAGGATTTTTCCTCCTCCGACACGAGCCGAGGGAGGACAGGAGGGCGGGGCGCCAGGCGGCCAGCGGAGCCCCTCCTCCGCCGCCCGCCGCGGAGGCCTCAGGGAGCTCAGCCGTCGCTCTCGCCGCTGTCGGGCGGGCTGTGGGGCCCGCGAGGGGCGCGCCTGCGCTCGGCTCGCGCCTGCCCCAAGACCTGAAGGTAGGGAGGAGGAGGAGGAGGAGGAGGAGGAGGAGGAGGAGGAGGAGGAGGAGGAGGAGGAGGCGGTGGGAGGGGGAGCAGGAGGAGAGGAGGAGGGGAGAGGAGGAGGAGGAGGAGGAAGGAGGAGGAGGACAAAGGAGGGGGGGGAGGAGGAGGGGGAAGATGATGATGATCATGTTGGTGATGCTGGTGATGATGCTGATGATGATGATGATGATGATGATGATGACGATGATGATGATGATGATGATGATGATGATGGTGATGGTGATGATGATGCTGCTGCTGATGCGATGTGATACTGATGCTGAGATGAGATGGATAATGGATGATGATGATGATGATGATGATGATGATGATGATGTGATTGATGATGATGATGATGATGATGATGATGATGATGATGATGATGATGATGGTGCTGCTGCTTTGCTCATGAGGAGGAGAGGGAGGGGAGGAGGAGGAGGAGGAGGAGGAGGAGGAGGAGGAGGGGGACGGGGAGGAGGGGCGGAGGGGGAAGAGGAGGAGGAGAGAGGAGGAGGAGGAGGAGGAGGAGGAGGAGGAGGGGAGGAGGAGGAGGAGGAGAGGGGGAGGAGGAGGGGGAGATGTGATGGTTGGTATGATGATGCTGATGAGGAGGAGATGGTGGATGGTGATGGTGATGGTGATGAGATGATGATGATGATGATGATGATGATGATGGTGATGATGATGTGATGATGATGATGATGATGATGATGATGATGATGATGATGATGATGATGGTGATTGGTGATGGTGATGTTGATGGTGATGATGATGATGATGATGATGATGATGCTGATGATGATTGCTGATGATGATGATGATGATGATGGATGATGATGATGATGATGATGATGATGGGGTGGGTGCTGCTGCTGCTCATGAGGAGGAGGAGGAGGAGAGGAGGAGGAGGCGGAGGAGGAGGAGGGGGACGGGGATGAGGGGGCGGAGGGGGAAGAGGAGCAGGAGGAGGAGGAGGACGAGGAGGATGAGGAGGAGGAGGAAGAGGGGGAGGAGTAAGTGGGGGAATAGGAGGAGGGGGAGGAGGAGAAGTCTCGGGTATATGCGGTCGGGAAAGAAGGGGGACTAGGAGGAGGAGGAGGAGGAGGAGGAGGAGAAGGAGGAGGAGGAGGAGGAAGAGGAGGACCAGTGTCAACCCAAGAATCATCAACGATATTGGAATAAACCCTCCCTCGAAGCTCCCTCTTCATAGACCCCTACAACGCTGCCTCGTTCGAAGACAACTGTTTGAAGACCTTGAAGCATGCCAGAACCTTGTTCTCGGCAGTCCAACGCCACGGATGAACCTGACTGTTGCGTCTTGACGATCCTGAATCGTGCCAGAGCGCCATTCCTGGGACTTCATCACAGCGAACCAACGTAACTGTTGCACCAGAATAATCCTGAATCCTTTCAGAACACCATGTTTGGTACGTTGATGATGGGAACCAGTGAAACTCTTACAAGTCTCGAAAGCGAATTTGCGCGGATCTAAAGCGAGAGCCGCATTTTGAAAAAGAACCGCCCTCGATGCGCGAAACTCATGCAAATCTTGAAAACGAATGTGCGCGGCGCTACCACGAGAGCCACATTCTGGAAAGGAACAACGCTCAATCCGTGAAACTCTTGAAATCTATCAGAACGAATGTACGCCGCGCTGAGGCGAGAGCCACGTTTTGAAAACGGCCCGCCCTCAATCCGTGAAACTCTTGCAAATGTTTGAAACGAATGTGCGCCGCGCTAAAGCGAGAGCCACATTTCGAAAACGACCCGCCCTCCATCTGTGAAACTATTGGCAATTTTAAAATTCCAGGGTCGTACATGGTGAGGAGATCTCAAGCGAAACGCCTGGACCGCCCTGAAAACCGGCTTCGGGGTGCGACAGGGAGGAGTTATCTATAAGGAAAAGGAATAGAGGAGGAGGAGGAGGAGGAGGAGGAGGAGGAGGAGGAGAAGGAGGAGGAGGAGGAGGAGGAGGAGGAGGAGGAGGAAGAGGAGGAGGAGGAGGAGGAGGGGGAGGGGGAGGGGGAGCGGCAGCCGGAGGGCCTCGGGCACAGTCGGCCCGTATCATAAGGATTCGCGATAAGGATGCACGGGCCATGGGCGCCCACCTCGGAGCCTTTCGAGCGGAGCGCGGCCAACGAAAGCGGCCAAGGATGGACCGAGGAGGCAAGGAAGTGGCCAAGGACTGACAGTGAAAAAAGCAACGCCTGGGCGTCGTTTAGTGGTGGGGGGGCGAGAAAGGAGGAGGGAGAAATGTGCATTGTTCGGGCCCTGAAGGCCCCCTTGTGGGGCCTAAAGGGCGCCTGGCCTTAATGGGGGCCCTTTTTATGCGGCCCTCGCTGCCCTCCTCTTTCATCGCCCCCCCACTGCGCTTCGCCGAAGACGCAACTGCTTTTGGCAGTTTCCGGCCCCCCGAGGGCCCTCGACGGGCCTCGGGACTGTCAGGAAACGGCTCATGCAAGGCGAAAGCCCCGTGTCCCGGACCCGGGAAGGGTTCCAGACCTCAAGGGTAGGTCGTTTGGTCGGCCAGGGAGCCGAGGAGTTCGGCGAAGGACTTGCGTTCCACAGGTGGGGCAGCTGGGGCGCCTGTACACCGAGCACCTTGGCCGACCAAACGACGCGGTGCAGACATCGAGCCCCTCCCGGATGATCTGGGGGGACCAGCTCGGAGGGGGGGACATCCAACATCCATCGGCGATCCATCGCCGATGGACCGGCGACAGGCCTCCGCCAGCGAAGCCGCGCGCTCCTGGAGCGGGAAGGGCCAGCAGGCCCCCGTCGGCGATGAACGGGTGACTGGGGATCGCTGCCCCCCCTGAGCAAGCCCCCCCATCATCCGATATCTGGATGCGCTCAGGACGGGATCCCCACCATTAACGGGCGAAGAACGGTATAAAATAAACTTTTTCGCTGTCGGGGGCGCCTGTCCCTGGGCGGCTGGAAATTTTATACCCTTACGATGGCACCGTAGGGGTATAAACTTTCCAGCCGCCCAGGGACAGGCGCCCCCGACAGCGAAAAAGTTTATGTTATACCGTTCTTCGCCCGTTAACTCCAGTCCAGGCCCTTTCTCTCAGGCCAGCTCCCCATCCCGAGCAGACTGTTGACGGTCCCTGGGCCCGGCGAGGCCCCCCGTGGCCCGTAGGCTGACCACCGCCCCCCGCGCCCTGCCTTTCTCGCGACGCGGGCATGCCTGGCGTGCGGGCCACGGCTCGGGCTTCCGGCGGCCGCCGGGCAGGACCCGGGCTGCCCCCCGAACGCCCTCGGCGAGGCGCGGCCGCCGCGCCAAAGCGCCCCGAGGCAGGAGAGCGCCTCCGGCGCCCGAGGGCCGCCCCGCCGCGCTTCCTGGAGGGGACCCCCCCCCCAGCTGGCGGGTGGCCCCCGAGGGCCTCCCACCACCCGCGCGAGGAGCACGTCCCCGCCAGGGACGCGGCCGAGCACAGCGGCTGGGTCTGCAGGGCCCCGCTGCCGACAGCCTCGGCCCCCGCGCTGCAGCCTGCGGCGGCGGTGCCTCGCGGCTGGTGGTCCGCTGCGGGGGGCCTCTGGGGCAGGTGGTCGCTGCAGGTGGTCGCTGCAGGTGGTCGCTGCAGGTGGTCCGCTGCAGGCGGTCCTGGGGAGGCCACACAAGGGCACCGACACCGCTGCTCCCCGGAGGCCTCTCCCAGGGTGCGTTCTGGCTAGAACTTCGAAGCGAATCCAGTGGTGGCGAGGAGGGCCTCCCAGGAGGCCCAGAAAGGCAAAAACGAGGGAGGGGTAATGGTATGAGTCCCGCGGGTTCGTTTCCTGTCGACCCTGGCGCTGGTTCCTGAACGATCGGCCGCTTCCGAAACGTCAGATCGAACTCAGCATCGACCGATTCTGGGCAACCGGCGGCGTTGCACGTCGAACGCCGGCGGCGGGGTCGCAGCCGGCCGACACGGCGCAAACCTACCCTCCTCCTCCTCCTCCTCCTCCTCCTCCTCCTCCTCCGCCTCCTCCTCCTCCTCCTCCTCCTCCGCCTCCGCCTCCGCCTCCTCCTCCCTCCTCCTCTCCTCCTCCTCCTTCCTCCTCCTCCTCCTCCTCCTCCTCCTCCTCCTCCTCCTCCTCCTCCTCCTCCTCCTCCTCCTCCTCCTCCTCCTCCTCCTCCCCCCCCTCCTCCCCTGAGGTCCGCACTGCGGAGGCCCGCTGCAGCTCGTCTCTCCCGCCGCGGCGTCTGCCGCCGCGGTCAAGCGAGCCGGCGCCGGCGGCGCCTCTCGGGGCCACGGCTTCTGCTGCGGCCGCAGCGCCTGCGGCCACTGCCGCTCCTGCACGGGGCAGGGCACAGCTGAGAGGAGGCCTGGGCGCCCGAAGGGTGCGAGAGACAGGTCGGCCCAGGGGTCCTCAGAGCGCCCCCCTCGCGTGGCGAAGCAAACATATCACGGCGGCAGCCTTTGCGCCAGCTTCGGGCTCGGGGGGCCCTCCCCCGGGCCCCGGGGCCGTCCCAAAAAAGCGACTCGGGACGAAACGCCGGTCCCCTTCTGGGGGTCACGTCCTCATGGAAAAGTCACGACGTCGGGGGTCTGGGTCCTGGGGCCCCGCGTATAGCTTCAGAGGTGGCCCCGCTGCTGATGCCAGTCACGGGTGGCTCCACGCGCCGCCGCGCTGCTCCTGGGCAGGCTCTGCTGCCCGGCGGAGGGGGGAGAGGAGGGGGCCCAGGGACACACACACACACAGAGAGAGGAATCGACACGACCCTACAAAGTCCCCGGGAGCCTTGCAAGAACCTCCACGAGGCGGCCCCCATGGGGCTCCGAGAGGCCCACAGAAAGCCCCGCAGCAGACGCGGAGGAAGATGAGGACGAATCAGCTACACACACAGGCAGCACGATGGAAAATGGCAAACAGCAATCACGAAATCGGAAGCCGCGCAGATCGTCTTCTGGGGATCGGCGGAATGGCGGAACTCAGCCTCCAGAATCAGGGCGTCGGATGGGGGGGGGCGACACCACCACCACGAGTCTTAGCTGCCCCGATACGCAGCACGCAACACATAGCGTATTGATACGGAGCTCAACACGTAGACTGAACACGTAGGCCTGACGCGATACGTTCGCCAAAACGTGGGCCAATACGGTGAGCCAACACGCAACGCATTGACACGGACGTTTTTTGAACACGGCACGTGTTGCGTATCAAAACGGGCGTATCGAGGCAGCGACTGCCACGAGTGCGAGGAGCCACGGGGGGATCCTCCTGGTGGTGCGCCCCCCCCCTCTCTCGCTCGAGGCATCCCGTCCCCAGTCTGGGAAGGCACCGTGGACCTCCTCGCTGGAGGCGACCCCCCTGGTGGTGGTGGTGGTGGTGGTGGTGGTGGTGGTGGTGGTGGTGGTGGTGGTGGTGGTGGTGGTGGTGCCCACGCCAATGCAAGAAATCCGCGCGGACCTCCGAGAAATGCTTCTTTCCCTCTTCCAGGCACGCGCGGTCCACGACTCGCAAAGCAACTATTCGCAAGAGTTCAAGCTTTTTGCTTGAAACCTCATAACGCGCGTTATGTACGTGGGTGGGTGGGTGGGTGGGTTCGTTGGCACACAGAACAACGCGTTGCGCGCACTACGAACAGCATACCTGTGCGCTAAACAACAGGCGCTGCTGCAACGGGGGTGGGTGAAGCGAAGGGCGTTGTGTTATCTCCTAGGTGGGTGGGCGGGTTGGGAGCCACATAACGCGCGTTATGTGTTCGAGTGAAAAAAATCAGCTCCAAATTACCTGGATCCGCCGCGGGGGATTTACGGCCACGAAACCAAGGCAAACACGCGTTCGTCGGACGCTTCCGAGAAGGCACTTTGCGAGTAGTGTTAGGTCGGGCATGTCCCCCTACAGGCGGACTTTGGGTGACAGAAATGCTCAAACATTGTCGAAAAGTAAAAAGAAAATCGTCCCCAGACTATTGTTTAACTATTTTTGGTGAATTCTTGTAGGGGGACATGCCCGACCTAAGAGTAGGCACTTTGTGAGTTGGGTTAGGTCGGGCATGTCCCTCTACAAGCGGATCTTGGGCGACATAAGTGCTCAACAATGGTCCACAAGTGAAATAGGAAAATCGTCCCAATACTATGTTTTGCCCATGTTTGAATTCTCCTCCTGTAGATAGCGGGACATGCCAAACCCCCGACGTCATGTTTTCTCATTGCGTCGACATCTGGGATTCTCGACCCATTCCCCTGGACCCGCTTGTCATCCTGAGTCGTTTTAGGACGGCCCCGAGGGCTGGTGAGGGCCCCCAGAGGCCGAAAATAGCAAAAAACAATCGCGTCACCTCGCGGAAGAAGAGGAGGAGGACGACGACGACGACGCCGACGACGGCGACGTGCTCGGTGATCTTCCAGCTCCTGCGGGGGCGGCGCCTCCCGCACCGGCTGCTGGCCCGACGGGCTCGGGGGGAGGCTGCCGGGGGACGCCTCGGACGTCTCGGCCCCCGCCGCCGCCGGCGCTCCCGGGTGCGGCGGCGCCTGCTGCTCCCCTCGCTGCCTTCGGGAAGCCCAGGGTAGGGAGCACACAAAGGACGTACGCGCCCAGCTATGTACATGAACACGGCCCCTTGACCCGCGAGACCTGCCGCGCGATACGAACATTCGCGCAATGCGAACTCTCGAAACCAGCGTGGATTCATGTACATGTACGTCCTTCTTTCGCTCCTGACAGGGCCCCTCGCGCTGCGAACAAAAATCACGACGGGAGCTGTTCCGCCATTTTCGGCCTCGGGGGGGCCTCACCGGGCCTCGGGACCGTCCAAGAACGGCTCAGGACGAAAACCCGTGCCCGGGAAGGGGTCGAGACCTCTGGGGGTCGACGTTTTGAAAAAAACATGACGTGGGGGGCCTGGCAGCACAAGCTACGGCGAGGGGTATCGAGTGCAGCCAAAACTGGTGGTGAGGATGCGCGATGTGGCGCCCATGGCGAGGCTCTTCGAGCAGGGCTGGCCGTCGAGAGTGGTTGAGGACGGACCCGGGAGGCATGAATGCAAGGACACCCTTGGGAAGTCGCTCATACTTGTTATCAGTTTCGACTTTAGGGAACCATGGGATGAGGAATCCAGGGTCTGGAATCTGGAAGCCAGTGGAGCTCCAAAAATGGACTGGCCATGAATATCACTGCCGCCATCCTCAGATAAGGAATCCTCCAGGGTCTGAAGTAGCCTGGGCACACTCCTTAACTAAGGCCCCCACCGTAATCACACGAGCATGAACTTTCGGAGGTCCGCACAGACTTCTTGAATCGGTGCTGGGCCCCACGGCTGAGAGCCCGGCGTCACAACTTCTTCACACCGCGCGTATTCACACTGCTTCTGGCCCCAGGACAGCATCACAGATCGTTCCGGCTCGAGGAATGCCTCAGAAAGATTGGGATTGGGGCTCCGGTAGCCAGTACTTGCGATGTCGCTATTCTGTCGCAACGTTGGATATCAGGGTTCCAGAAGTCCGCATGGACTTTTTGTCGGCGGTGGACAAACCTCCCTTTAGTGAAAACGGCCTCGGACCGAAACCGACGGACCTGGACCCGCAAAGATGACGGCCGCGACGCCTCTCGCGAACAGAAAACGGCTCATTCACTGATCGACGTGTCAGAGTAGTAGGTCTATCAACCTCCGATTTTGGATTGACGTTGGAACCCCTTCCTGGCGCGCGGAGCGCGCCAAGGGCGGCGAAGGAGGCCGGAGGCGCCGCCAGGGGGGCCCAGCGCAGACCCAAGACATCCGCGCAGACCTTCGAACACGTACCGTACTTTCAGGAACGAGCGCTTGCTTAGCATTGTGGATGCCACGACACTGGACACCCTAACAGTCCTACCATCGCATTCAAGATGTGTTTAACATGTCGGGGAAATCTTCTAAACGTGTTTAAAACATGCTGCTTACGTGTTTGGAGCACGTGCTGTCATGTCTCAGGCATCCGGAAATGACTTGGCAACATGCTCCTTCTCCGCTGATCGCCCTCCACAAGCTTACGGCAGGTTCGTGTCGTGTCGACCCCGGCGTTGGTTTTTGACACCGCGCTGGATCGTTCAACCTTGAACGATCGGCCGCTGCCGCAACGTCCGATCGTTCAACATCGATCGATTCTGGGTCGCCCGCGGCGTTCAACCTTGAACGCCCGCGCTGGGGTCGCCGCTGGTCGACACGACGCAAACCTACCGTAAGCGTATCGCGGCTGGCTCTGGCCCGCCGCGCTTCGGCGCGGCGCGCTGGCCACGTCCACTGGCCACCGAGCAGCGGCGTCCCGAAGTCTTGCCGGGGCCCCCGCCCCAGGCGAAGCAGAGCGACGTGCGCTAGCAACTGGCATGCCGAGCCCGTGCCTCGTGGAAGCCAGAGGTACCGATGCCCAGAGATCCAACGCATTGGCAAATTTGGACGCCCGAGATGGGTACGGAAAAAATGGGTACAAGGCCCAACAACAAGTGTTGTCCCAAACCCACAGCGGCCGCTGTTGGGCAGGCGGCCTCCTGTCTCGAATGGACACAGGCCGCGGCGGCGTGGACAGCGAATCCTGTTCAAAATGAACACGAACTGCTGTTGGGCATTGTGCCCATGATTTCCGTACCCATTTCGGGCGTCCAGAACAAAAATCAGCACGGAGGTTTTTCGCAAAGTTTGGCCGCTATAGGGGCCCTCGCCGGGCCTCGGGACCGTCAAAAACCGACTCGGGAGGAAGAGCCAGTCCTGGGGACTGGGTCGAGACTCCTGGGGACCCCGCATGGAACAAAATCACGACATCCGATCTCGGGGTACCGCTGCTCCCATCACTCTCCCGGAGCGGGTGCCCCGAGGAGCACCCCTGGCCGTGGCGACGAGAGCTCCCCAGGACGAGCGGCGACATCGGTAGATCCCCGGGCATTGGGGACGTCGCATGCCGTGCGGTGTCCTCGCTTTTCTCGGGAGCGGCCAAGAGGGGGGTGTCCAAGAAGGGGGGGGTGCAAATCATGACCGGCGGCATGTGCGCGGCCCAGCGGGGGGCCAGGGACGCAATGAAATAAGAAGAGGCGCCACGAAATCTGAGGAAATATCATGGCCCACGCCGTGATATCCACCCCCCCTAGTCATCACCCCCCTCTTTTCCGCCCCCGACTTTCCAACGCGTGGCCCCCGGGGATCCCCGACCCCTTCCCCGGGACAGGCTTTGCATCCCGGGCCGTGGTTCAACAATATTTCTGGCAGTGCCGGGGCAGGGCGAGGGCCCCCGCAGGTCGGAAGCGGCCCACAGAGACCGTGCGGCGCGGCTCTGGCACGCGAGCACGCCCGGGTTGTTCGGATCATGGCGGCCGTGCGGCACGATCGGGGCACCCCTGGAGTGCCCGCGGAGAGACGCAGCCACCGGAAGGCATCCAGAGACTGGAACACCGCCCAAGAACCGATGCAACCATCCGAGAGCCTCGAGCCTCGAAAACTCGACTCCTGGGCTGCCCCCTCCGACTTCTTGGTCCTTCTGCCTCCGCGTTGTTGATCCCTCTGCCTCTGAGTTCTCTATCCCTCATGAGCTCTCGTTCCTTCTGAGGTCTTGATCACCTCTGCAGACTCCTCCTCGAAAACATCGAGCCTCGATCCCCAGTCCCCCGACTGCATGTTTACTTGTTGTTTCATAGCGTCGATGATGATCCTGAGACCCAGCAAGGGCTCCCAAAGGCCGAAAATGGTGGAACACTTCCCGTTCTATTTTTTCATAACTCGAGGGGGTCTGGGAACCTAGGCTTCCGAGATCTCCTCCTCGAAAACCTCGAGCCTCAATGTTACTTGCCGAAACCTCGACCTCCAAGGTCTCCTCCTCGAAAACCTTGAAAGTTCCTCATGGCGAACCTCGAGATCTTCTTCTGGAGAACCTCGAAATACTCACCTCTTGATCCCTCCGAAACCTCCTCCCCGCAAACCTCGAGACCTCCTCCTCGAAACAACTCGAGCTACCCTCCCCATTCTTGAGGTCTTGATCCCTCCGAGATCTCCATCTCGAAAACCTCGGTCCTCGACACTCTGCTGGAAGGGCTACATGCGTTGTTGGATAAGGCTGGCAGGAACGAGCAGGTGGTGGAGTAACAAACAAGCATGCTATTCATGTGTGCACTGTAGCGCCCTACGGCAGGTTCGTGTCGTGCCGACCTTGGCGTTGGTTCCTGACACCGCGCTGGATCGTTCAACCTTGAACGATCGGCCGTCCCCGCAACGTCCAATCGTTCAACATCGACCGATTCTGGGCCGCCGTCGGCGTTCAACCTTGAACGTCGGCGGCGGGGTCGCCGCCGGTCGACACGACGCGAACCTACCGTATTTTGGGCTGAGCGGCGAGGGCTGCAGCGAGGCCGCACTCGGAACTCCCAAGTCTCCAGGAAGCCGGAGCTGAAAAAGCAGAGCCGTGATCTGCGTTGTTGCCATTGTTGTGGCATCTCTCTCGCTGCCTGGGCCTCGACACTCGAGATCTCCTCCTCGAGAACCTCGAGCCTCGAGATCCCCTCCTCGAACACCTCGACTTCCGAGAACTCCTCCCCGAAAGCCTCGAGACGTCCTCCTCGAGAACAGCTCGAGAGACCCTCCTCAGTCTGAGGTCTTGATCCCTCCGAGATCTCATCCTCGAGGACCTCGAGACTTCCTCCTCGAGAACCTCGAGATACCCTCCCAACTCTGAGGTCTTCATCCCTCCGAGATCTCCTCCTCGAGGACCTCTGCAGGGCGGGTGGTGCACTACACCATTCGATTATGCCTCCGTCCTCCTCCCTCCGCTCCCGCTCGCCACCTGCCATGTTCCCCACTCCTTCCTCCTCCTCCTCCTCCTCCTCCTCCTCCTCCTCCTCCTCCTCCTCCTCCCCCTCCTCCTCCTCCGCATCTTCCTCTTCTTCCTCCTCCTCCTCCTCCTCCTCTTTCTTCCTCCTCCTCCTCCTCCTCCTCCTCCCAACTCTTGAGCTACCCTCCCAACTCTTGAGGTCTTGATCCCTCCGAGATCTCCTCCTCGAACACGTCGGTCCTCGACACTCTGCTGGAAGGGCTACATGCGTTGTTGGATAAGGCTGGCAGGAACGAGCAGGTGGTGGAGTAACAAACAAGCATGCTATTCATGTGAGGAGGGAGGAGGGAGGAGGGAGGAGGGAGGAGGGAGGAGGGAGGAGGGAGGAGGGAGGAGGGAGGAGGTACTGTAGCGCCCTATTTGGGCTGAGCGGCGAGGGCTGCAGCAAGGCCGCACTCGGAACTCCCAAGTCTCCGGAAGCCGGAGCTGAAAAAGCAGAGCCTCGATCTGCGTTGTTGCCATTGTTGTGACATCCCTCGCTGCCTGGGCCTCGACACTCGAGATCTCCTCCTCGAAAACCTCGAGCCTCGAGATCCCCTCCTCGAAAACCTCGACTTCCGAGAACTCCTCCCCGAAAGCCTCGAGACGTTTTCCTCGAGAACAGCTCGAGAGACCCTCCTCACTCCGAGGTCTTGATCCCTCCGAGATCTCATCCTCGAGGACCTCGAGACTTCCTCCTCGAGAACCTCGAGATACCCTCCCAACTCTGAGGTCTTCATCCCTCCGAGATCTCCTCCTCGCAGACCTCTGCAGGGCGGGTGGTGCACTACACCATTCGATTATGCCTCCGTCCTCCTCCCCCCGCTCCCGCTCGCCACCTGCCATGTTCCCCACTCCTTCTTCCTCCTCCTCCTCCTCCTCCTCCTCCTCCTCCTCCGCATCTTCCTCTTCTTCCTCCTCCTCCTCCTCCTCTTTCTTCCTCCTCCCCTCCTCCTCCTCCTCCCCCACCCTCCCCCCCCTCCCCCCCCCCTCTCCCTCCTCCCTCCTCCTCCTCCTCCTCCTCCTCCTCCTCTCCTCCTCTCTCATCTCCTCCTCCTCCTCCTCATCCTCTCATCCTCCTCCTCCTCCTCCTCCTCCTGCTCCTCCTCCTCCTCCTCCTCCTCCTCCTCATCCTCCTCCTCCCCCTCCTCTGGCGACCCTCTGCCTTCTTGCTCCCTCGCGGCCTGGGCTGCCACCTCCTCTGCGGCGGGCTCTGGCCGCGCCCCGCCGCGGCCGCGGCCGCTGCGCCCGGGGCGGCCGGCGGCGACGGCGCCTCGGCCAGCGCGCCCGCGGGGCTCGTGCCGCCCGAGGGCGGTCCTGAAGGAGCAGACCCAGAGAACCAACGCACTGAAAAAATCAAGATGGAGGTTTTTCGCAAAAAGTTCGGTCCCTATAGGGGCCCTCGCCCGGCCTCGAGACTATCTTTGGACTATTTTTTGACTATGTTTAATTTTTTGTCGAAAGTCCCCCTGTAGGGGGACAGGCCCGACTTAAAGGTATCGATACCCAGAGATCCCACGCATGGACAAAAATCAGCACGGAGGTCTTTCGCACAGTTCGGCCGCCAGGGGCCCTCGCCGGGCCTCGGGACCGTCAAACACCGACTCGGGATGAAAAGCCGGTCCCGGGGGAATGGGTCGAAACTTCTGGGGACCCCGCATTGAAAAAATCACGACATCGGACCTCAGGGAAGGAAACCAAGAAGCTCTCGAGACGTTGCAGCAAAACGTCGACCCCCAGAGGCCTCGACCCCTTCCCGGGCACCGGTTGTTCATCCGGAATCGTGTACTGAACGTTCCGAGGCCCGGCGAGGGCTCCCGGAGGCCGAAAACGGCGAAACACCTCCTGTCGCGATTTTTGTTCCTGACTCGAGGGGGTCGGGGTCTGGGGGTCGGCGCAGTGCAAAAATCCAGACATCAAATGTCTGCGGAGGCACAAGCACGGACGACCGGAAGTCCGCGCGGACTGCTTGGATCGGGCCGGGGCGCCCCTCCCTGCTTCGAGAATGGTGGTTCTTCTGCTAGTTGCACCATAGGTACAGCTAGGTATAATATACTTATAGCAAGGGATAAGTACCTAAGTATTTCTAACTATTTCTATGTGCCCTTAAGTATTTGTCTTGTCGCATAACTATACTTAGGTTAGTTATAAGTATTTCGCTGATTATTAATGACGCTGGAAGATACTTATAACTACCGCTAAGTTACTTACCCGTGCTGAGATGCAATACTTATAAGTAACATATATGTTACTTATAAGTAACTTATAACTTCCTTCCACCCCTCCTTCGCTTCTCTTCCCCCCCCGCCGCGCGCCCGCCCGCCGCGCCGCAGGGACGTCGCGGCCCGCGGCCCCCACGCAGAGGAGGACGAGGAGGAGGGCGAGGAGGAGGACGAGGAGGAGGAGGAGGAGGGGGAGGAGGGATGAGGAGGAGGAGGTGGATGTAGTTTTCAGGAACGATTTTCGGATTTGGGGAATTTTTTTTTGGATTTGGTGAGGTTTTCTGGATTTGGAGAGGTTACCTGGATTTGAAGAGGTTTTTCAGGATTTGGGATTTGCCCATCGACCTGGAGCTCGTCGCGGCGCCGCCTGGTGGGTGCTCGCCGCAGTAGCGATGGCGATCGCTTGGGTGAGGAGGAGGGGGATGGGGAAGGTAGCGATGTCGATCGCTTGGATGGGGAGGAGGAGGAGAAGCGATGGCGATCGCTTGGGTGAGGAGGAGGGGGATGAGGAAGGTAGCGATGGCGATCGCTTGGAGGAGGAGGAGGAGGAGGAGGAGGAGGAGGAGGAGGAGGAGAAGCGATGGCGATCGCTGGGGGAGGCGAAGCGATGTCGATCGCTTGGAAGGAGGAGGATGAGGACGGGAAGGAGGAAGAGAAGCGATGGTGATCGCTTGGGGGAGGGCGGGGTGGGGGGAAGAGGACGAGGGGATAGCGATTACGATCGCTGGTCTTTTGTTTTCGCGCTTGCGGGCGCGCGGCGCGCTCCGCGCTTGCGGGCGCGCGGCCTCACCGCGGAGGCGGAGTCGACGGCGGCGACATTTGCGCCTTCGCCGCCGCTGGCGCCGCTGGCGGCGCTGGCGGCGCCTTCGCCGCCGCTGGCGCTTTCGCCGCGGCGCGCGCCGCCTTGGCCTTCGCCGCCTTCGCCGCCGCCTTCGCCTTCGCCGCCGCCCCCTTCTCCTTCTTCTCCTTCTTCTCCTTCTTCTTCTTCTTCTTTTCCGCCTTCTCCGCCCTCAGCTGCGCATTTTCCGCCTGAAGGCGCGCCTGCTCCTCCCTCCGCAGCAGCTGCGCCTCCTGCGCCTCCTTCCTCAGCTGCGCGTTCTCCGCCTTCAGCTCCGCCTCCCGCCGCAGCACCGCGTCCCTCTCGCCGATCGCGATCACTAGCTCGCGCTCCGCCTCATTCGTCGTCGTCGTCGCCGCCGCCGTCGTCGTCGTCTCGTCGTCATCGTTTCCCGCCTCCTCCAGCCACAGCGAGAGCTGCACGGCGCGCTCTGTCTGCTCCGCGTTGACAGTCTGCAGAGGCGGGGGGAGGGGGAGAGGGGCGGTGGAGTGAAGGGAGGAGGGGGTGGGGGGAGGGGTGAGGAGGGGGAGGAGGGGGAAGGAGGAGGTGGAGGAGGAGGAGGAAGGGGAGGAAGCGGAGGAGGAGGATTCGGGGGAGAGCGATGGCGATCGCTGGGAGGAGGGGGTATCCGCCTCCGCGAGCTGCTGCAGCAGGTTGTCGCGCTGGCGCCTGAGCGCCAAAGCGCGAGCCCCCTGCGCGAGCTCGCGCGGAGCACCCCACATCGCGCCTCCGCGCCCCGCGCGCGCGAGCCCCGCGCGCCTCCACGAGGCAGAGCGGCTGCGCGCGGCGCTCAGTGATCTCCTTTATCATCATCCACCTTCCTTTCAGCGATCGACATCGCTTTCCTTCTCCTCATCTTTTTTCCTTCTCCTCATCGTCATCGCCGTCGCTTCACCTCCCCCAGAAGGAGGAGGAGGGGCGACGGGGGGAACAGCGATGGCGACCGCTTGGGGGAGGGGGGGAGGGGGGAGTAGGACGTGCACGGACCGAACCCTACGGGTTGCAAAAACAAGAGAGGAGGAGGAGGAGGTGGAGGAGGGATCATAGGAGGAGGGGGAGGGACGGGGGATGTAGCGATGGCGATCGCTTGTGTGAGGAGGAGGGGGATGGGGGGAGGTTGCGATGGCGATCGCATGGGGGAGGAGGAGGAGGAGAAGGAGAAGCGATAGCGATCGCTTGGGGGAGGGCGGGGAGGAGGAGGGAGAAGCAGAGAAGCGATACCGATCGCAAACTTAAGTAGGCGGCAATCGTTTTGAACGATCGCTGTGCATAGCCGTTGTCGGCTTTGCAGTCGCGGGTGACGCCCGCGTGCGCGACGCGAGTGACGCCCGCGGGCGCCATGGCGGCCGACCTGGTGAAGCAGCTGAAGGCCGCCAAGTCGGTCCTCGCCCAGATCGGGAAGAAGTCCGACGCGTACAAGGAGATCGCGGAGGCGCAGAGCGCCATGGCGATGGCCATCATGGCGCCGTGGACCTTCATCTCCGCCGAGGACTCGGCCATGCTGGTCCTGGAGATCGGCCAGATGCCTTTCGGCAAGAGGGCGCTTGCCACGCTGCTCGGCCGCGTCACGACGTTGGCGGCGGCCTCAGCGCAAATGTTGGCCGCTAACGCGGCCGCAAGCGCGGAGCTGGCGGGGTCGGGCAGGACGCCGATGCAGGACTTCTCGTCCATCCTCGCCCACCTCACGAAGAGGCAGTGGGACAAGATCCTGGACGAGCGCAACGACTTCATGGGTCGGGTTGCGGTCGTCCTGCAGGCTTGCAAATCCCTCGGGTGGCGCACGCTGCATGAGCCGACGGTTCAACTGGCGGCGTGCGTCGCCCTCCTCGTGGACGACTCCGATTGGACGATGCGCATGTGTCCGATGGCACAGTGGGGCTATTTCAAGCGGGCGAAAACATACGCCAAGAAGCTCCTGCCGTGGAAGTTGTGTAAGCAGCTTGCCGCGACCGGGCCGTCCTTCGTCAGCGAGCTCCCTGCGGACCCGACTGACATGCCGAAGGTGCACCCCGAGTGGTACTCGCGCGCGTATGGTGGCGGAGGGGAGGCTCCAGCAAACGAGTGCCCGCTGGACCGCGCCATGTTGATGGTGCTGTGCGACGCGGTCCCGATGCGAGAGTCCAAGGCTCGCCTCAAGGCCACGTCCGATGGCAATCGGTCGTCCGTCGACATGGCGTTGCAGCTCGCGGAAAGGGCGATGACGATGCAGGGTGGCGGCCGCCAAGGTGCGCGAGACGGCGTGCCATGCAGGCGTTGCACTCCGCAGCCCATTGCGCCCGCCACGGACGGCGCGATTCCGATCGGCGACGCGGAGTCGGCGCCGCCGCCGACGACGCGCAGCGTGGAGGAGGCCAGGGACAAGATCTTCGCGAAGCTCGGTGGCAAACAATGCCTGCCAGATGTGGCCAAGACGCCGCCGAGCGAGGACGAGTCGGAGGGCAGCGACGGGGGCGACTCCGATAACAAGAGCGCCGACGGCGTGGAGGAGGCGGAGCCGCCGCCGCCGATGAAGAAGAAGCGCAAGGCCGCTGGCGACGGCCACCCCGCGCCCCCCAAAGCCAAGGCCAATGCGAAGAGGAAGAACAAGAAGAAGAATACTGAGGCCGAGCACGTGGGCGCGAAGGGGGTCAAGAAACCACCGAAACCCGCATATGCGGTGGAATGGTCCCGCAACCAGGTCATGTGCCGCACGGGTACGAAAGGTCCAGGCCAGTCGACGGCCATCAAGTTCAGCGACCACGGCGGCAGCAGCGACAAGGCGATCGCTGCGGCTAAGAAGTGGGTGCGCAAACAGGAGAAGAAGCTCGGCATCCACACTTGATCGGCAGGGGTGCTGCGACGATGCAGCCTGCATGCGTGTGCTCGCACACGACTAGATAGCCGATTATGGCTATGAATAGGGAGTGGTGGAGGAGGGGCAGCGATGATGATCGCTTGGTGTAGGGATGGTTGTTCGGGGGGGGTGCAGGGATGGAGTTGCAGGACAGCGATGGGGATCGCTTGAGGTCGGTTGGGCAGGGCAGCGATGATGATCGATTGTGGTTGCAGGGATTGTAGATTAGTTTGCAGCGAGTGCAGATTGCAGCGATGGCGATCGCTTGGGGATTTCAGCGAGTGGAATTGCAGCTGTCGCTTGGAGGATGGCGAAGCTAGAGTG